CTGTATGCCTAGCTACTCGGGAGGCTGAGGCAGGAGGATCCCTTGAACCCAGGAGTTCAAGGTTACAGCGAGCTATGATCATGCCACTGCACTCGAGCCTCGGTGACAGACTAAGACCCTGTCTCTAAAATTAACAACAATAATAGTCATATTAATAATCAAAATAGTATCAACTTCACAGAGTCCTTGATCATTAAGATAATAAATGCTCAGAACAGGACTTGCCATATAGAAGTCATTATATTAATGCTTGGTCTCTTGCAGTCATTCCAAACATAAATCCAGAAGATTGAGAAGACATACAGATAAAAAAAAAAAACAAAAACCGAAGTTCTTGTTTGTTTGTTTTGTTTGTTCATTTTTGAGACAGAGTCTTGCTCTATCACCCAGGCTGCTGTGCCGTGGCACCATCCCGGTTCACTGCAACCTCTGCCTTCCGGGTTCAAGCGAGTCTCCTGCCTCAGCCTCCTGAAGAGCTGGGATTACAGGCATGCCCCACACCTGGCTAATTTTTGTATTTTTAGTAGAGACCAGGTTTTCCCATGTTGGCCAGGCTGGTCTCAAACTGCTGACTACAAGTGATCAGCCTGCCTCAGCCTCCCAAAGGGCTGGAATTACAGGTATGAGCCAGTGCACCCGGCCAGAAACCCCAAAGTTGTTTTTCGTTTTTTGTTTTTTTGAGACAGTCTCGCTCTGTCGCCCAGGCTGGAGTGCAGCAGCATGATCTCAGCTCACTGCAACCTCGCCTCCCCAGTTCAAGGATTCTTCTGCCTCAGCCTCCCCAGTAGCTGGGACTACAGGCACCTGCCACCACACCCAGCTAATTTCTGTATTTTTAGTAGAGACGGGGTTTCACCATGTTGACTAGGCCTGTCACGAACTCCTGAACTCAGGTGATCCACCTGTCTGAGCCTCCCAAACTGCTGAGATTACAGGTGTGAGTCAACGTGCCCAGCACTCCTTAGTTTTAAAGATATGAGGCTCAAGATTTGGTAACCAGGGAATCCCAGCTAGACGCCAGCACCAGATCCCATGTGCTGTGCAGTGAGAGGTGCCAGGCAGGGCGCGAACGCCTCCCTCAACCCCAGGGCAGGCAAGGAGACCGGGAAGCCTTGCAACCCAGGGGGAGCCCAGCGACTCTTGCTCACTCCCTCCTTCCCTGGCTCCCTTGTGCCCCTCGCCTGCCCACTGCCTGTCTGAATGGCCATCACCTCCATGCCACCCATTCCCATGCATCCAACCTCTAGCCCCAGCCTTCAGGACTGCGGTCTCTGGAGCCTCCACGGGCATCCCAGCCCCTCCCACCTCTCCTCTTTCCAAGAAGATCACCGGTTTCTTTACTTTGCTTTATTGTTCGTGGGGTGAAGATAAGGCCTTGGGCTTGAGAAAGTCATTGTCATATAGTTATAAACTGGGAGACTGGGTGAGAAGGCATAGAGACAACGGTCATCGCCCATCCTCCCTTTCTGCGGATGAGGTGGGACAAGGCCAGCTCCCTGGCTGGGGAACGGGATGCGAGAGCTCTCACAGCTTGGAGAAGGTGACGCTTTTCAGTTCCTTGTTCTCAGTCACGGCTTGGACCGACTTGGCGATGTCCTGGGTCTGCAGCATGCTCATGTTCCAGGACGCCTGGTACGGAGGGTGTTGGGAAAGAACGAGGAGACAGATTAGCAGGGGCCAATCAGGATGAAGCATGCGAGCACCCTGAGCCTTGGTTGGTCCCTGGGGTTAGAGGAGGGCTGTGACTGGTTGGAGCAAGCGCCTTACCACGTAGTTGAGGCTCTCGGCCACCGAATGGTCGCGGGAGTAGAGCAGGTTGACCTTGGTGCCCTGCACCGCCACGGGGCTCTTGCTGGAAATCTCGGCCGCCAGCGCTAAGGCAGCATCGAGCATGACCTCCTTGTCTGGCAACACCCGGCTGCAGCCAAAGAGATCAGGGACCGGGTGGGCTGGGAAGGGCTCTCTCCCCCAGCCTCCCGCAGATGAAGAAGTGGCCACTCACAGAGGAAGGCCCAAGACCCCAGAGAAACAGCCCAATGGGAGCAGGGGACTGACCCCACACTAAAGAAATGACCTCGCCAAGAAAGGATGCCACTTGGAATTCTCGAACGAGGAGGCCTCCACCCCTCCAGACCTGGCTGCCCCCAGCACTCAGCCACCAGGGCCATGGCCCTACCTGACCAGGCCGCAGCCCAGGGCCTCATCAGCCATCATCTTGCGGGAGGTGAAGGCCAGCTCATTGACCAGGCTGCAAAGAGGAGCGTGCATCAAGAGGTGGCTGTCACCCCGGAGCTGCGAGATGCTCTGGGGTGCCCCGCCCACACACCCACACCCCCTGCACCCACCTCTGGTTCCCGATGACCTTGGGCAGGCGCTGCAGTGTTCCTACATCGGCAGCCAAACCCACGTCCACCTCCTGGGGGAGGAACCGGGTCAGTGTTTGGTTTCTGCCCAATACTGTGCCCCTCGCAACGGCAACATCCATGAAATTTCATGTTTACTGGAGAGTCCCGCCCCACCTTCACCCCCGGGACTTCCTCCAAAGTCCCACTCCATTGCCCAGGCAGCTTCTTGGCTCAGGCAAGTTCCTTCAACCTAGAATAGAGCCCGCCTTCCCACTCACACGCCCTCCCATCCCTTCAGGGCAGCTCCATCTATCATGAGAGAGGCGCCCTTTTCACCCTACCTGAGACCCCTTTACTGTGTCCCCGGCTCCATCCTGCCTCCCACCTTCATCCGTATGGCCCCAGGAGCAATCCCTGCCTCTGGCACCTGCCAGCCTCAACCCCACCCCATATCTAACCCATTCACAACTTCACCTCTTGACTTCCTCTACGGGCAAGTCTTACTTTGTCAGGTTCAACTCCGACTCTTCCATGAAGCTCACTCCAGGCCCCCCAACCCCACCCCACTGCCCAGCTCTAAGCAGGAGCTCAGGAGGATGGCTCACCTTCACCTGGAAGAAAGCGTCCTGGGCACAGTACCGGATGTCACAGGCGGTGATGAGGTTCACACCTAGGAGGTAGAGGCCAGGGACGCTGAATGACCACCAGAACCAACCCCGCCCCCCAGGACATGTGGCTGCCTCTTGGGACAGAGTCTGGCCCGTGACAGAGCTGAGGCTGGAGGCCAGTGGCCGCAGCATTGGGGCAGCAGCCCGACCCGGGGAGCACCCGAGCAGGAGGACAGCCACAGACTCACCTCCGCCAATGCAGCCCCCGTGGATGGCAGCAATCACAGGCTTGGGGCACTGAGAGGGAACAGGAAGAGTGGGGTCAGGGCTGGCCCAGGGGAGGCGGGCATGGAGGGGGATGCCCTCCAGCCCCCTAGAGTCACCTTCTCGATGACGCTGAAGGTCTCCTGATATCGAGTGA